ACCATAGTAAAACTGGTGTCCCCATCCCAAACTCTTTCCAAGAAAGTCTTTCTACTACACATTGATATATATTCCAAATTGCAAATACTTCATTCTGAAATCCAGGGAAGGTTGCTAAATGACAACACTTGAAAGCAAAGAATGTAGTACTTAAAGATATATTTGAGTGGACAATGTAAGATTTATGACATTATTGTTTCTAGGTATAACGAAGTGTATATTTCATTACAACACAATACACTGATCTCTGACCCAAAACAAAACCCATTCTTTTTCTTGTTATCACAAAATATTATAGATACAAACAAAACAGAACATGCTCCTGAATAAGAAAAGTGATGCATTGATCTACCTCCAACGCTAGTCTAAATAGAACCATACCATACTCCTACCTTATTACTGCCATTTCAGTAGGCTAGAAGAGTTAGAAGTGAGTGCAGCAAACAGAAGTGTTTCGCAATATGCATTTCACAATATCATTTATATACTCGCTCGTAAATCTTTTATACAGCAAACATTAACACTGATGACTTCAACAGTGTATGGATATACTGATAGAACCATAGAAACAATCAAAGAAGTAGAAATGTAAGTGAGTATTAATTATTGTTTGATACTGATAAAGGTCTCATCTTATAGGTTGCTAAACCTTTCAGAAATTGGCTTCCATGAAGATTGAGTATATTCAGCACCTCTGTTAGCATACTCAGCACCTTGCATACCATGCCTTGTTGTTGTTGTCAGTACATAAAAGGTTCAGGGAAAAAATCCACTGAGACATGTTCAAAAGACAAGGGGGAAGACAAATATTCATAGTTTCATAGTTGTTAGAGTCGGAAGGGACCTCAATAGATCATTGAGTCCAACCCCCTGCCTTGGGCAGGAAAGAGCTCTGGGGTCATATGACCCCAGCCAGTTGCTTTTCCGGTTTCCTCTTGAAGACCCCCAGGGTAGGGGAGAGCACCACTGCCCTTGAAAGCCCATTCCAGATTCTGGCAACCCTTACCATAAAGAAGTTCTTCTTGATGTCCAACCTAAATCTGCTCTCCGTCAGTTTGTGGCCATTGTTCCTCGTTATTCCAAGGGTGCCCTGGTAAGCAGAGCATCTCCTATTTCTTGCTGCCCCCGATGGATTTGTAAACGGCCACAAATTCCCCTCTAAGCCTTTTCTTGTGGAGACTAAAGAAATCCAGGTCCCTCAGTCTCTCCTCATAGGGCCTTAACCATATGAGTGGCCCTCCTATGGACCCTCTCAAGGTTATCCTCATCCCTCTTGAAGTGCGGCACCAAGAACTGGATACAGTACTCCAACTGCGGTCTGACCAATGCTGCACAGAGGGGAAGTATCACCTCCCTGGACCTGCTCATCATGCACCTGTTAATGCATGATAGAGTGAAGTTAGCTTTACTGATCAGTTTGTCACACTGACTCCAAGATGAAAATGAGCCGTCAACTATGACTCCGAGATCCCTTTCTACCGCTGTGCTCCTGAGGTCCTCCCCTAGCCTATAGGTGTGTTGGTGATTCCTTCTCCCTAGATGCAGCACTTCGCACTTGTCTTTGTTGAACTGCATCCTATTCTTTCCTGCCCACTTTTCCAACCTGTCCAGGTCCATCTGGATTTGATCCCTTCGCACTAGTGTGTTTACTGTGCCCCATAATTTCGTGTCATCTGAGAATTTGGAAAGAGTTCATTCAAGTTGCTGATGAAGACATTGAATAGCACAGGTCCAAGGACCGAGCCTTGGGGAATCCCACTGCCCACATCTTTCCAGGTCAATACTGACCCGTCCACCACCACTCTCTGGGTGCAACCCTTAAGCCAATTTGCCACCCACCTGACCATGTAATCATCTGTCACAACCACTTGGTTTGTTTATGAGAATAGGATGAGATACCATATCAAAGGCCTTCTTACAATCCAAGTAGATGACATCTACCTCAGCTCCTTCATCTAAGCATTTTGTGACCTGGTCATAAAAAGAAATAAGGTTAGTCAAGCAGGATCTACTTGCTGAAGGGCAACCAGCATGGCTTTGTAGCATTATTTTTCCTGCTGGGCTCCCACAAATGCGATCCTTGATAATTTTTGCAAAGGTTTTTCAAGGATAGAGGTGAGACTAACCAGACTATAATTACCCGGATCCTCCTCCCTCCCTTTCTTGAAAATAAGGACCACTTTGGCCCTTTTCCAGTCCTCAGGGACCTGACCTGAGCACCAAGTGTTCTCAAACAGCCATGCCAGTGACTCTGGTATGACATTGGCCAATTTCTTCAGCACCCTTGGATGAAGATCATCCAGCCTGCTGACTTAAACACATCCAGCCCCTTCAAGGGTCCCTTTAGAAGGTCAGTGCTAACTGCTGGTGGGCTGGTGTTCCTCAGCTGCAGTAAATCCATATAGCTCCACTAACTGGTCCACAAATTTATATCAACTGAGTACCTGTTCCAAAGAGGGTAGTTTACCTGTAAACAACAAACAGTATTCAATCAACAATGCACATACATTGTTAGTAGCTGTTTATGTTCAAAACTGCGCATGGCATTCC